AGTTCCATTTAAAAAATAAGTAAATTAATTAACAAACAAACCCAAGATGTTAGGGGAGCTGATAGTTACTCATTGAATTATCAGACTGTGCTTTAGAAATCATATTGTGATATTTGAGCTCCTGTTACTGGTAACTCTGGAACTAAATGTTACCTGGGGAAAATAATACACTTAGGAAAATAAGGTTATTAAATGAAAGTGAGTTTCAACCTCCTGCCTTGCCACACTAAATTAAGAGCTCTGAGATGCTCAGAAGCTCCTTTCCCAGGCTAAACCAGAAGGGGGCCCCAAAGCAGAGGCTGCAGCCTTAGGAGCCAGGCAAGCTTCAGTAGTTAAACAGTACAGAACACAGCACTGGACACAGTTAATTCCAAGCCTCAAAACATATTCTTTCCCTGACAGGGCTCAAAGATAACAAGTACGATGTAATTCAGGTTTAATAAGCCTTAATAAGACCCCAAAAGCAAGCATGTCACTAAAATTAGAACACTGAAGATGAGTTAAATAGTAGTTAAGATAAAGCCTCATGTTACATTTATCTATTTTTCTGGAAGTCCTCTATTTCTATATGTTAGGGAAAAAAAGTCATAGAAAGATTGTCTGTGAGGGGGAAGTGTTACTTAGAAGAACATTTTTAAAATAGCAGAATTCTACAAGCAAGGAGAGAAAATGAACCACACATGATACCAAAGGTAGTCAATGAATAAATTCACATTTAAAACACACATGCAAGGTTATAGTTAATGACAATATTTGCTCTACTCACTCAGAAATCCAACAACAGAGAACAATATTTATATATTCAATATGCAACTGTTGTGGGCAGAGGGCTGAATCTGGTAATAAAACAATTTGTCTAAGAAAAATTCATTTTTTATGGTTATACTTGTTTGTAAAATGATTCTTCATTATAGCTTGCCAAATAGCTGAACAAATAGTTACCATCTACCAAGTTCAGATTTTGTATAAGGCTCTCAACATATAAAGTCAGGGAAACTTTTGTAAGTAATATATACATATATATATATATATACACACACACCAGGAAGATAATTATGAACTCAGCTAAGACACAAAGCATAGTGCTAACCATTAAGAATAATGCCAAAGGAACAGGAAGACAAAGAAGAGTAATCATTAGATCTAAGATAAGTCACATCTATCAGTATGTTAGTAAAAATATTAAAAAGCAAAGCAAAAGGCAGTTAAATTCCTGCTATAATTAATTTTATTACTAACAACTACTTAGAACTAACTAGAATTGTCCAGGTGTTAATAAAAGAAAATTCATACTGAATTTTTAATTTTAAAACTAATCAGATTAATTTGTTTCTGGAATGTGAAATCAAAACCAATAAATGCCCAACTCTATGCATATTTAAACAAAATTATCGTGACTTCTTTTCTTCTTTTTTTTTTTTAATCGGTGGGGGGGCAGTGGTTAGAAAAACAGAAAAACAAGAATTCAGTTTTTATAATAAATTAATTTTTTAAAGATAAACATCAACAAAGGTATGTCTCCAGGGATGTAAGGTTAAACAGAGGTGAGCCATGGGCTTCCCTAGCTATAAAATGAAGAACTTAGGGGTCTCTGATAGCAAGGCCCTTTCTCCCCACCCACATTCCTTACCTCTGGGATGAATTTAGAAACCCTGACACTCAAAGTTGTAGATAAATCTTTGCAGCCCATACAGTCTAAATCAAACTGGGCTTAAATAACATTTCTGCAAAGCTAATTAGAACAATGACATTCTCAGAAGAGTTAATATACAATAATCATTCTTTGAGGTACACTGAATCTTGTGTATCAAAGTATTTAATGTGCATATTAAAAAGTATTGGCCAATAATGCTAATTCATTAAGCATTATTCTTACAAAGCAAATTCTTAATGCTGAGCATGATATAAGGCTAAGGATCAAAGGGAGACAGAAAAGAAGTACATGGTCTTCAGGCACTAATAATCAAGTCACCTAAAACACAAATACCAAACTTTAAGAACTAAATTCTAGAAACCTTAGAGGTAAGACTGAAAAAACAAAGCAAAACTCTTATTTGAATATAACAATAGAAATCTGCTCAGCAGGATTTAACCTTAGGAATTTGCATAAATAAGTAAATAAACAGATTCTTATTCATCTTTATTGGCTAGTTCAAGTAACTTTTATTAAAGGATAAAACAACATTTAAGTTTTTGCTTCTTTTTAAAATTTTGTCCAAGGGATAGTTGTCAATGTACATAATCTTTTATACTTTAATAATACATGTGTCCTCAAATTCTAATAAACTAATGTCTTGACTTCAGTGTATTTAACTGGAGAAAAGTAACATCTGCACTATGGATACAGAAATTAATGATAGAGAGGGAAAGATCATATTATCACTTATAAGTATTTAACAAAAAAACAGCAAACTCTTTTTCCTCTCTGGTTAAGGAGACTTTTTTAAGGTAGTTTTCTTCATATCTATCCCCGTCTTTCAGCTGTACCAAAATCATTCGGTCTTGAACCTTTAAGAATTGCTCTTTTGTGTCACATGCTTCAGTGAATCATTCTGTTAAAAATCCATGCTATCGATTATTTTTTACTCAATAGGCTTTAAAGTAGAATTTTAAATTTATAGAAAAGTCCAAAATATAGTATAATTTGAAATTACCAAGTCTTTTGGTTAGAGAACAATCATCTCCAGAGCAATTTCCATTCAAGAGAAATATTCTGCACTGTGTTGCTTCTTTCTCATCATATATTCACTGACAGCCTTACATCTGTAGTAAAACTTAAGAGCCCAATAAATAATACGCTTTTCAAACAGGGAGTATTATGCATAAAATTAATGTGCTTTCTCAACACCAATCAAGAAAAGTCTTCAGATTATCTGAGACTGAATGTGAACACCAATTTAAATGAGTGAAAAGAGTCCAGGTAACAAACAGCCAACGATTTTCTCCCACAAAAAACAGGGTCTTCTCACTCCTTAATGATACAGAAACCCAGTCTCTTTCATTGACACACTTAAAAGGATCTTAATCTTAAAAACAAGAAAACTTGGCACTTTCATACCACAAACTCATTCATTCCTAATGAGATTCTAGTCTTATGATACCTTAGAGCAGAAGACCTACAAACAAAGCTCAGATTCAAAGTATATCTGAATTTCAATTGTTTTGTTACAAATCATCTTCTACCCATTTGCTTGTTTATTGATTCTCAACAATACTTATTGCCAGTACTATAATTAACTGTTATTATTACATGGGGAGGGATATAACCTAGTGACAGCAAGTATTCCATTTCTAAAGCCCGAGAATCTAAGACTCTAATTCAGGACAATACACTTCATGATAAATAAGAGCATACACAACTTCCCAAGCTTCACCAAAGCCCTAGTGGTTTTTCTCCCCAAATCATTTTCACAAGGTCACATCAGCTATTTGGATTAATATATTCTCTAGTGATAGCAAAGATACAATGTGATCCTTGCTGTGGCTGCTAAGTTTAGTGGCTACTGTTGCTTTTTCTTTCTTTTAACCTCTTTGCAGCTTTTAATACTTACCTGATCTGCTTGAAGACAATCTAAAAGTAGCAGTTTTTCTAAGATTTGTCTATCTGTGTATTCCTCTGGTGTTTAAGTACATGCGAGAGGAGGAATGTACACTGATATATTACTTAAACTTATTCATAGTAGTACTCGGTGGAACTCAACTTTAAGCTATGAGAATACCTTTGAGCCATTTCTTTTCAAAAAGGAATTATGTGTATATACAAAAGTAAAATCCAAAATCCTAATCAGGAATGCATTAATACAGAAGATAATGACTATCTTATTGAATCTAGTAAAAAAAAAAAAAATTAAAGTATTCAGACTCTGAAACATTCAACTGTCACAATGAAGGCATTTCAAAACAAAATATGCAGCAATATGCTATGATTAAAAGCCCTATAATCTAGGGAACTCTGTAATAAACAAAATTAAAATAAACTAGACAAATGGATTCTTACCAAGTTTGTAATAAGAAAACGCTGTAATCCTGACATAGTGAAACAAAGGCTGGTGAGACTTTCGTGTTGACCTAACACTTCCATTGATAGGTACCATAATTACATCCAAAGGAATACACACATGGTTTAATACGGAGAGTATTATTTTATGACGCTATCTTTATTTAAAATTGGAGCCCATTATAACACATACTAAGAGTAATTATTTAACATATACTGTCTAAACAGAGGAAAGATCCTCACACAGCTTTCCTTATACTCATGTTTTTAAAAATGTACAAATGTTACAGGACAGAAATGAGAGAATAAGGAGCAGCAATGAAGTACACCATATGTTCCCACTGTAGGCTGAGTCCAGGTCTTTGTTTCAATATCCCAGAGCCACTAGAAAGAAAGCTAAGTATCTATCCATTAAAATATATTTTCACGTTTTTGCTGGCAAAAGTTATACTTCTGATAGGTTCAGTCAGAATCCGTCCTATCCTATTCCTGCTTACATTTGCTTCTTTAATCCTGATCTCTTGCAATTCTAGGAACCTGCAATACAACCACCCTGGATAACAGGTCGGAAGCAGAATAATCTTAAAAATCAATGTGAAGAATAGACACCGAAGAAGAATGCAAAGTTATTTTGAAATAGTTCTTAAGTAATTTCATATCAAAGACACAATTCTTGCTTTTTAACAGCTACGCACCTATCCAGATATCATCCACCTTGTCCTCAATTAGCAGGATTTCCCTCAATCTTGAGATCTCCCAGTTTTAACGGTGCAACTCAAACCAAAAACCACTAGCCACGCCCTTTATACTCAGGGTCAACATACCTTTTGCACACCCCACCCCCGGCCGCCCAAAGTCCAAAAATGTACATCGTTCACCCGAAGGGGACTGTACCGGTTTTCTAACCCAACGCAGACTCTTTTAGCTGTGTCTTGATACAATTCCTATTAGGTGCTTTCTCCCGGGCAGTGTGCAGACGCCGGGAAGAAGCACCCACGCTTACCTCCCACACACCTTCAACCCCTGGCGGGATGCGGGAGCTGATGCTCGGAAGACTGCACTCCACTCGGCTCTTGTTCCTGCTCTGGTCTCTCCAGGGAAACTACAGTCCAGGCTGTGCTTCAGCTTCTACTGGGACTCAAGCTCCGCCTCCCCCTCTTCCAGTTGGCGAATTTGGCAGCTGTTGCTCCTCCCCCTGCTGTTCCTGCTGCTGCCGAGGCTGGAGGCGGCGGGAAGCGGCAGCCGGTGGCCGGTGTAGCTTCCCGCTCCCTGCACTTGTACAGCAGCTCTGCCTCTTCCCTTTCTCAGCGGGCTCCCTCTCCCCACACTCAGTGCCCTCACACCTGGAGTTGGCCGCCCCTCCTAGGTGCCCCTGCAGGGAGTCCAGGTTCAGCCTATCCCTCCCCAGTCCGTGGGTCTGGTTGCTTGGTATGCCTGGGGCTTTGCTGCTCTTAGGAAGCTCCTCTTTCGGTTGGGGCGCGTCCCCACACCACACCCTCCCTCCACACCAGCGAGTTCCTTGAGGCTTCCTCTCCGCCTGCGTTGCTCACTCAACCCAGCCACCCCACTTTCCCCGCGTCGGGCCCCCCACCCTCTTCCTTCCTCTGCTCGGCTAGCCCAGCCCCTCCATGGGTGAGGCGCCTGCGGGGCTGACAGTGCGCCCTGATTGGCGCAGGTGAGAGCTGGCCCCGCCCTTCCCCTCCTTTATGTGCACCCCCTCTCTTCATCTCACCTCCTCCCGCAAAGGCAGGGAACTCTCTTACTATTGGCTAGGAGTGTCCCCACCCATCGCCTTGGGCTCCGCCGCTTGGTTTGCCGGGAAATGTAGTCTTGGGAGTGCAGGAATTGCTAGTAACGCCGGCGAACGGGACTACGAGTCCCCATAGAGCGCTGCGCGACTCCGGCTGGGCAGGATTCCGGACAACGCCTGGTTCCTCTCGGGTCCTTCCGGCGTCGCCGGAGTGAATTGATCCGGGAGTTGAAGAGGGCTCCAAAGGTGGGAAGTGAAGTCAGTGCCTCAGTTGCCGGTAAGGTGTGACTGTTCTGTCCTAATCACCGTAGCTCCGCACCGAGTAAAAATGGTCAGGTCACTCGGGGACCGTGGCTGAAACACTCAGGCTTGGCTCTGGAAGGCGGAGCGGACGGGGCTGGGAGCGGGGCCCTATGGGCGTAAGTGAGGTTACCCTACGCGAGTGGCGTAAAGCGGGTTTGTAAATGCCGCCTGCCCCGCTGGGGCCTGAACGCCTCCAGGAAGTCTCCTCTAGGTGGGGGCGAAGGGGAAGGGCGAGGTTGGTCTCTCTGGCCCAGGGAGCGAGGAGAGGGCGGATGTGCCCGGGGTGGGGTCCCCTAAAGGTGTGGCTTGGGGGAAGAGAGGTGAGGCTGCTGTTTCCCCCCTTGCTTTATAAGCAGGCTAGGGAAGACTGGAGGAAGGAAAGGGTGCTTGGGAGTCTGCTCTTGGGGTGATCAGGGTTATGCCCTTTGAGGGGAGAAGAGCTCTGAAGAAGGAAGAATCAAATGTTGACAAATCTACGGATTCAGTTCCAGTTTTAAGATGTGGCCCCTTTCAGGAGGTAATCTGCCCCTAAGCAGAAAAGCTTGACCCTCTTAGGTGTAATACCTAAGATATGTTTAGTCCTGAACTGTATTCACCACGCTTTCACTTTGGGATGCTGATGAGGAAACTGAGGGAATAAATGACGTGTCCAAGGTCACACACACACAGACAGATCTTCTGAATCTAGTCAGAGTGCAGGTTCTGAACCAGAACTGCTATCTGAGAAAAAAAAGTGTGTTCTTTGGAAGGAGTGGGGGAAGTTGCAAAGTAATAGTATTTTATGTATTTCTAAGAAGCCATTTGTAAGGTGAAGAATTTTTTTTTTTTAAGTGAGGTGAAACTCCTTCCTCATTAAAGGATTCTAACCTTTTAGAAAAATAAAAAGAAAGGATCAATGAATTGAGACTTTTTTTCTTAGAGAGCCTACTTCCACAGACCATTTTTAAGGGTGGGTAATGTTTAGCAGTTAAAATAATACTCCTTTTTCTTCCTACTTTACTCATTTTGTAAAACCGAGAGCAGTTGGGTTGGAATTCCTTAACAGAAGTTATTTTACACATTTTGTTTTCAAACAATGCAACATCAAGAAGAGTTTATAGTGCCATTATTAGAAAAGATATGTTGCATTACGTTGAGGTAAATTTTTTTGTTTCAGAATTCTATTTTTCCCTCATTTTCTTGACTTCAGAATGTGTGAGAGAGACAACAATGATGCTTATATTTTTTTATTGCAGAAAGCAGTGCACTTTTTCTAGACTTAGTCTCTAGAATTTTTATAGCTCTTGAATGTGTTATTGGATAGTTTTTAAATAGAATTGTAGGCATGTATTCATTGACCTCAAGACTTATTCGTGATAAGTTTATATACACAAAGGCATAAAATTATAGTTACCAGAAAATCAATCATGGTGTATTGTTTTATAAGTTGTATTTTGAATGTACTCTTCAGTTATTAAGATCATCAACAATTTGTCTTAAAAATGAAAAACAAAACATTTTCTAGGATCAGGTATTCTTCTGTGAATATGGTTTGATTATAATATGACTTAAAATACAAGGAGAGGTATGATACTACAGAATGAAATAAAATCAGGAAAAATGTAGCATGGTAAGTAAAGTAGTACATAGTAAGGAAGAGCCAGCTAAACAAATGGAAAATAATGTGGGGATAACTAGTTTTGTGCTAGATGAAAAAAGGGTGTGGTAGTTTAGGTTGACTGTAAACTGGACATGAGTAAGTGGTGGTAAAGCAAGAATGTCATTGTATTTTCTAGATGGCAATGTGGACATTGCCTTTTGTTGGGAAAGGCATAAGATGAGTTTGGCATGTAGTTATGTGATGATGGAACAAGTTTTTGAACTAAGGAAAATTTGGAAATAAGAAAACTTGATATAAAATACTTGTTCTGAGTACATTAATGTTAATCTTTAATTCAGTGCTACCACTGAGTTCTCTTTATCTCTGAGGTTCATTATAGTTTTGATATTTCGCTTGTTTTGGGATGGCAGAGTAATGTTTCTTTTGTATATATCATCCTCAGTCTCATGCTAGAGTTCACAGAAAGATGTGTAACTTGTGTTTTTATTGTGGTTTACAGCCCACCAGTGTCCACATTTGTGGATACCTTTCAGGAGACTTTTGTGTCTTTTTTTTTTTTTTTTTTTTTGGGACATCATCTTCTATAGGATTTAGGTTGTCTTTCATATACACCTCTCTCTCAGGGATGTAAAGTCTATAAGAACCAGGGCTATATGTTATTTATTATTGTAATCTCAGTAGGTAGAATAATTGGATACTGATTTACAGAGAATAGAAGAGGCTCAAGTTGGTCAATGTCTTGTCCAAGGTCATGTGTCCATTGATTGGTGAGACAAAGTCATAACCTAATATAGAACTTTAATATTGTGGAATAAAAACTCAGTTCCCTTAGATTATTTATTTTATTTGAGAAAAATACAACGTGGCTTAAATATTTAATGCTATGAATCCTTTTACTTTCATTAATACTGGCAATTTATCCTCTGTCCTTTATGTAGCACTCCATTCTTATCCCCAACCATTCTCATTTACCTTCCTGACTTGGGGGCTTTTTAATATGTTTCATCTCCCTGCCTGGTCTGTATTCCCTTACCCTACAAAATCTGGCCAACTTTCAGTCAATTTTCAAGTCTCAGTTTAAACCTTGTACCTCAGGGGAGCTATTCCTGACCTCCTTTGATTGTCTTCATCCCAAAACTGTGATCTTCACCATCTCTGCACCTTTTTGCCATCCACATTAGAAACTTATTTACTTCTGTACCTATTTGACAAATATTTACCTTATTCACTAAACTATAAGTTACCTGAGCAAAGCCTTCTCATTTATGGGCCTTGCTCTACTACTTACAGTACCTGGCACAAAGTAATTGTTGAATAAATATTTGCTGAATGAATGAATGAATGAATATATTCATGCAAAGTGTCTCCAGAACTCTGCTAGGGACAGAAATACAAAAAAGACTAAAACAGATATGCTTCCCACTTAAGGAGAATTGAAAGATAAGAATTTTCAAATGAACTACAACATAGGAAATTTAGGTTAGATGGAAAGGATTTATTGCCTGAAATTTGGAATATAAATTGTAGAAAGGTGTTTGTTTTTTCTTGGAGATCTCAAAACTCCAGATAGGTAGTTTTCTATGTGGAAATGACAAAAGAGTCATTTTCATTTACAGAAAAATTTCTGTTTAATGACAGTATTTTGGAGACTTTATTCCTGTTCTGGTTTTTATTGTTGTTATTTGTTTTGCAGATAACATTGTTTATAAATTATAGGTGTAGAACAGACTTTTCAGTGGACTTTCTTCTTCCCTAATGTTATCTCATTTTTGTCCTCAAAACAATTATTTAGGTACTATTGACACTTTATAGCTAAGGACACCAAAGATATAAGTAAATTTACTAACTAAACACAGAAAAATTAAATTGCTGGAATTTCCAGCAGAAGATGCCGGAGCCATGGTTTAAATTGATCTGTCTCTGCTTTTTCCATTTTCTTTGTTTTTAACAGTGCTATTTTCCTGTGAATTTCACCTTTAATATCACTTGCTTCAGACAGGGTGACTTTGGAAAATTGAGTAATTCTTGTCTCAGATAATCTTATATTTTGAGCTTCTTGAGAATTTTCATAATACTTCAGTGGGTCTCAAAGTAATACTTGCTTTAAACCTAGAGACTTACAAGAGTAAAACGATTATCATTTTAAAACATGGAAATAAAATTTCATGGATAAATTGTGTTATGTTTTGGTCTTAGAAACAAATTTTGTAATCTTTTGCAGCACCACACTAATGGAATAAAAAATATACCCAAGAGCTCTGAGTTGCTGTAGTCTGATATTGCTTTCATGAATTTACCAATACAGTCTCCCACAAGATATTGTCAAAAAGTGACTGCTAATACTTGGCTTTAAAATTTGATAGTGCTGCTAGTTTTCCTTATTAAATGTAAGGCTTTGCTAAGTCCTAAACTTACTTTTTAAAGTCAGACCTAATGTTATTTGAATACGGATAACAATTTCATATTTACGTAGCATAACCAGAATGTGGAAGATAAAACTGAGGTACTGCTTCTTATATGTTTTTGTATTATTAAAGTTATTATGATAAGTCATGTAATTAAGAATTTTAATCCAGAAATTGATTTTTTTTCTGTAAAGTATAAAAGTGATATAGAAGTTAGTGTGATTTTGTAATTTTTGAAATGTAATAAGTTGCCAGTCTCAGAGACTTATGGGATGGATATACACACATGTACACATAATGTAAAAAATTAAAGCACTTTTATTGTAGTAATTAGAAGTAGTTTATTTACTGAAAGTTAAACAGTGTGGTTTGATGGTTCACTTTGTATGAGATGGATTTTTTTTTTCATTTAAGCTGCAAAATTTAAATGTATCTTAGATATATCATTAATATCACAATTCTGTTTCTCAAGGTCACACTTAAATTTTGGTTATGGGGACCTGTTTTTGTTTTGTTTTTTAATTGCTCAAAAGTGATTTGAATGAATTTAATCAGTCTTCTACAGTTGCCTAGAATCAGGTGTTTCCTATGGGGTAAATGATTAAAACAGAAAGAAAAGGGGAAAAAAAGGAGATATCGTCTTTAGCAAGTTTATGAATTATTGGGTAACAGCAATTGAAGATACTAAGTTATTATCATTTACTCTGTTAGGCCAGTCCCTTGAAAAGAAATTTGCCAAAGGTAAGTCTAAATTGCATAGTAATGATCCTTTGGGTCATTCACACATATATCTTTATTGAGTTTACATTACATGTGAAATTGCCTTAAATCTACTTTGGAATGAGCTGGAATCTAATATAATAGCTAACATTCATTGAGCCTTAACTAATTGCCAGGCCTAATAGTAAGCATTTTAAATGATCTCTATGTAATCCTTACAACAGTGCTAGAAGTAAAGGTACTATTATC